TCTCTGTAAATTATAAAAAGTCAAAAAGGTAAATAAGATTCTCCAACAAAGATTTAATATATGTCAGAGTTAAGAGGATTAAGTCATAATTTTATATGGTAAATTTCAATTTATATACCTTTGATATGCTTCCTTATTAGGTATGCTTCTATATTTTTGGCTGTGTATCCACTCTGAATTCTAGATCTTCTTCTTCCACAACAGAGAAAATTAGTTCTTCCATATTTTATATTAGTTTATTTTTCTCCCAGGTTGATTGCTCTTCATAATCAATACATAATTTATTTTGTTCTGGCCACTTGTCAATTTATCAGGGTAATTTGGAATTTTATTTATTTCATTTTTATAATTTCGGTAATTTCACTGAAGAAATTATTGAGCAACACAAGATCTCACAGTAATACCAATATAAAACCTTTATGGGTATTCCCCACTTTTCAAAAGTTCATGTTTCGCCACTTCACTTTTATGAAAGACCTATATTAGTACATATCTATTTTTGCTAATGAAAAGAAATCTGAAAAGGATTTTCACTTTTGCAAAAAATGGCAAAAAGCGAAAATACTGTTCAGCATTTTTTTTTGCAGCAAGCTTGTAGAGGAAGTGCATACCCCAAGCAGCAAGAGTAGCACTGCTTTTACTATATGTTAGTGTTATTTTTGGTTTTATGTGTTATTTGGTATGATTTGGTAGGGCTTTTGGGGTTCGAAATTTTTTCTATCTAAATTAATGGTACAGTTGACACTTGAACACAGGTTTGAACTGCACAGTCCCACTTATACATGGAGATTTTCAATAAATACTATAAGTGTATTTTCTCTTCCTTATAATTTTCTTAATACTTTTTCCCTAGCTTACTTTACTGTAAGAATAGGTATATATTTACATATAATGTAGTACATATGCATATAACATTTATGTTAATTTCACTGTTCATGTTATCAGTAAGGCTTCCAGTCAACAGTAGGTTATCAATAGTTAAGTTTTTGAAGAGTCAGAGTTATGAGGTTTTTCAGCTTCACAGGGGTTGGGCCCCTAATCTTCCTTCTCCCTGCCCCTCACTTCCTGTTGTTCAAAAGCCAACTGTAATTGCCTCTTTACTTTAGAAAAGATTTCATAAAAATGCTCTATTTTCCGATGAGGGGGGAACCTGTAGTTACCACAGATTCCACTCCAGTTGGTACTGATCCAACTCTTTGGCCTGTAAACTTTAAACTTTGCCCTGTAAATTTCTAATAAATTCCAAGCCTGGGGACACTACTCTTTCAGAAATGACAAAGTCAAGCTTTATTCACTTTCTGCAGGATGGGGAAGAAGGAGGCAGAGTCTTCATTATAGCTTCTTTCAGGACTTTAAGAGTTCCTGGAAAAGGGGATCACCATATGCCATTGTTATTCTAACACTTAAAGGTTGCCCTTGTAATCGGAATTGACAGCAAACTGAAAACAGAAATTAGAAGCAATAAAATTAGAAGAAAATAGGAGAGGAATGGGAGAGCTGTCAGCAGAAGAAGGGATCCTTTAGAAAAGTAGGAAAGAGTAAAGACCACTTTCACCCATCTGACTATTTAGCCTGGTGCCATCAATGGCCATGCTACCAGACCCTGGCTGGTTTATTTAGTTCAACCACCACATGAGGACATCAATGTCATTTGCTCGATTCCTATGTGAGTCAATGGCCACCAGCTTCATGGTCAAAAACGTGCCTTTTTGCCAATCTCTCATAAATGCCAGCACTTGTCCAAAAGGAATTCATGAGAATGGGTATGAACCAATCAATGCAGATTCACCACCATTACTAGAAAAATAACTAGAAAAACCTGACCTGTGAGTCAGCCCATACTACAATTTTCATTTAGGAAGAACTCCCTGATGGTCTTGGGTCAGAGAGATGGGAGTAAGAAACAAGGCTCTACTTCTTACTAGCCTTATATGTGACCTTGGAGAAGTTATTTTCCAGAGTTTTAAAGATAAAACACATTCTGGTAGAGCTTGACGTAAAAGCGATGCTCAAGTGATGCTAGGCTCCACTCCATTCTGGAGTTAAAAGCTGGGCAGTAAGAGCACAAGGATGGAGCCAGGCCCACATGTGTTCCGATCCTGGTTTTGCAGCACACTAGCTGTGAAACACTGGGCGAGTGACCTTCTCATCTTATAAAGTTGGGATAATGATTTAAAGCATTAAGAGCTAGTACCTAGCACACAGTGAATGTCAATAAAGTGCAGCTATTTTCTTTTAACTGTTAATATGAGAAAGAGATCATCACTATCAGTTGATCAATGTTTCTCAAAGTGTGGCCAGGTAACTATGGATATCAGAATGACCTGGCATGTCTGTTTAAAAAAAAAAAAAAGTCCTATGTTTCACCCCAACCTATTCAAAAAAGCTCCTCAAGAATGGTACCTAGTAATATTCATTTCTGAATCAAACTTCCTTGAGATGCATACTAAAATTTAAGAATTAATGATCCAGCTGGTCTTGTGCTGTGTCACAGTAAATTAAGATTTGTCTTCTAGTAGCTAGTCCTTACTATGCTAAAATTACCCTAGATGTTTTTCCGCAAGTTTTTTGGCACTTTTTTAGACCTAGACATTAAATTGATAGGCTCGCTTGTTTTTTTTTTGTTTGTTTTTTTCCTTCTAATGGCACTATTTTGATATTTTTTTCCCTCTTTGACCAGAGGTCACTACACTATGGCCTTGGTTTATAACCAGTTTTGTACAACTCCAACTTCCAGAGGGAATATGTGTTCAAAGGGCTGTTTTAAAAGAAGAAGTGATAGAGACCAAATGTTGCTCACAAAGTCTAAAATATTTGGACCTTTACAAAAATGTTTGCCAGCCCTTTGGTAGCCTGTAATTGTTTTTAAACTCTGGGTCTTAACACAATTTACTTTAAATAACAGAGAACTGATTATAATAGAAAATGTTTTAGTAGATATTTTCCACTGCACCTAGTAAAGTATCATTGCCAAAGTTTTTTGGGTGTGTATATGTGCGTGCGTGTGCGTGTGCGTGTGTGTGCGTGTGTGTGTGTGTGTGTGTGTGTGTGTGTAGGATAACGATAAAATTGTATTTGGTTGCAACCAAAAAGTTTTTAGGTCCTTGGCAGGGTAGGGCTGGGGTTAACAAGTACAACTGATTAACGAATATTTATTAAAACTCACATTGAATAATTTTTACAATAAAGGTGCCTCGGAGAATATAAACCCATATAAAACAATGCCTGCTGTTTAGAATTTAATGGCTTATTTTTTCATTGCAAAATGGAAATAAAATCTGTTCCATGTATAACATGCACTGTTGTAAGGAAAAAATGGAATCATCAATGCCAAGTACTTCAAAAGCATTACACAAACAAAATGTTTTAGTTATACTAATAACACATTGTATTGAACATACATAGGTTCTTTACCAAGTCCCTTAGTTCCTAGTTTCCTCCAATCTTGGAAACTAGCCCTTTTTTTCCTTTGTGTGTGTGCATGTGTGTGTGTGTATACCCATGTGTGCACGTGTGTGTTGGGAGCATAAAAAGAAGTATTAGATGCCTCTGCCCTTTCTGTGTCATCCACTAATGGCTTCTTCTCATCTATTTAAAATATGTATTCTTTGATCCTTTTCCTGTTTCTAGTAAAAAAAAAAATTTTTTTTTTTGATTAAAATCTCATGCAAAAAGAACAAGTAAGACTATGATTATCCTATCCCTGGATACACTAAAAAGTCCAAAATTAAAAATTTTTAGGA